ACCCAATCTAACTGTTGGAACTGGGCAACCATCCTTGAAAATCTCAAGAGCTAGTATATTAGACCCTGGTGCTTTTCCTGGCTTTATATCACTCGCAGGCTTTTCAACCACACTAAGTATTGCAGGACTTACATCAAACTGTCATTCAGGTTGCCTGAAGATAGTGGGTAACTGGAATGTGGCTGAATGTCAACGTAACTGTTCTCTAAAATGCTCTGACTATCAGTCCAATCTTCGGAATTGAAAGCGATTCATAGTCGCATGGTGTTCATCCATAGTAGACATTCACAACCCAGTTAAGAATCGAGCCCAGAATCTTTCATTCTCACGGCTGATGTCTAAACATTAGAACAATAGAGTAGGTTTGCAACTGTATCATTCCAACTTTGACGAAATTTCGATTTAGTGAGGTGAATATTCAATCTCACTGGTAATAACAGTTTCATTTTAGTTATGCATGAGTTGCACAAGATCCTAATTTTTCTATAACCTACTAACTGTACAGCTTGCTAGACCAAATGTGATCAACACCAAATAGGACAAAGGAAGAATGGTACTAATCACTAACTCAGTAACTTAAATACCACATTAGTAACATCTCCGACTACATCAATTTAGATGATGAGTGTTCGAGTCTCACAGGAAACATCAACCTTCAAAATCGGAAATATACCTTAACAATAAATACACAACTGGTGAATGGTTTAGATTCAAAGATTTAAACCAAACACCATTACATAATGTATCTTTCACAAGACAAAATCCCATTATTTTTGTGTGGCAATCGGAACTGTAACGATCTATATCATTCATACTTTATGAATGTTAATAGTCAAACTTTTTTCTACCAAATCAAATTTCAGAAAGAAAAAAAAAACAGAATTTCATACGAAAAACTGATACTTCGTAATAAACGAGATGAACACATGAGATTCAATGCGCTATGTAAACATAAATTACCAAATATGTGCGATTACCGACGCATACATAATCATAGATATGTACATATACATGTGGTATACAAATCGATCATCACTTATATGCGCCCACTTGGTACATTCATAGAATAAATGTGAATTTGATGATAGAATTGATTTGTGTGGGTTTTTGTTTTCTAGAATGTAAGTTTTCTAATTTTCATCTTCTTTATAAATTCATTCATTCATTTATCAGACATAATAGATTATTCATTAAATGAGTCAATAAAATATTATATCAATAGTTGAGATCATGAATCAATTGAAGGTAGACTACCATAGAAAACCTGAAAGCACTAGACGACCGTTTCGTCTTATTGTGGGACTACTCAGCAGTGCACATTCACGATCCCGTCTCGTGTGATACAAACACAGGACATATCAGTCTCGCTCGTGAGCGCTTAACCACCAGACCACTGAGCCAGCCGGCATCCAGCGGTGTTAATGTCTAATTTCAACCGATCCATGAAATTAAGCGACACATCCACTATTGTCATCAGGGAATTACTATCTCACAACAGGCTCAGTTGAACTCCCATGGTTACTGCTTCTCACTAGAACTCCAGGATATACCTCTTGAAGTTAGTTTCTAGTGAGCATATGTTGATCATTATTAGAAGGGGTTTTGTAGATATTATAGTAATTTCGATAGTTGAGATCATGAATCTACTAAAGCTAGACCACCATGGAAAACCTGGAAGCATTGGACGGCCGTTTTGTCCTATTGTGGGACTCTTTATCAGTGCGAATCCACGATCCCGCCTCACGAGATTTGAACCCAGGACCTATCAAGATTATCAATTACTTACGTAATCACGTATAAATAAATTCTAGTATGTGTTCATAAGATAATTAGAAGTATTCGAATTATTGTACTAACTGAGGATTCCCGAAATAGTGCAATTTTACAGAAAATAGAACTACATGAGCACCAATGAATGTATTATATTCGGAATTTGTAATGAGCGAGTAGTCGAGTACAAAAGAATCATTAGTTCTGTTATACCCTAATAAGCATAATGAATGGTAACTTTTGGGATCCATTTATGGATCAATACCATACGTATATTTTTTATCATATAACCGATAAATAACTAACCTACTCATATCCGTGTCCCACTTATTATGAGCTTTGTTTTGACATATGAACTATTATTATACCATTTACCATTCTTGAATTATGCCCTGTCTATTAATCACTGCCTCACACATTCACAGCCACATTTGGTCAAATTTTGTACAAATGTTATTTTCTATTTTATGGTATAATGTGGTCTGTCTGATTGGTATATAAACCCAGTATGTTTGAAAGAAATGATTCATATTGCAGAGGCTGAGATTGGTGTTCTGGACTTAAATGGTTGAGCTACGCAGGAAGCAGGACCGATAAGGACTCTAGACTGCTTGTACACATTTTTTGAGTCATTGGTCCGATCGATAAATTACTGTTCTCTAATTGGCGGTATCATTACGTATATATTAACAGAGCACACAGGCTACAAGTTATAACAAGTTCATATAAATACTACAGATAAGTATTTCAATATGTTATTTGCTTATCTCATTACTTGTTTCTTTTCTCAACTATTTTTTTTAGTAATAACGAATACGGCCGTCCAGTGCTTCCAGGTTTCCAACGGTGGTCTAACATCAATTAATTCATGATCTCAACCAAAAACTTAACAATCTCCACAACCCCCATACTGAATATAACTTTATTCTACCTGTTGTGGAAACCCAGAAAATTCCTCAAAAGAAAAATCCGTAAAGGGATTCGAAAACGTTGAGAAACATCTTATCCAATCAGCATTGAATAGAAGTTTTACCAGAAACATCTAAAAAGTGAAAAGCTATATGTCAAATTTCTGATTAGATGGTTACTTATACTGTTACTATGTTTGGTAATGTTCAAGAATTTCCCAGAAGCCCAAGACCATGTAAAATGCTATAAATACCCTAGATTTTCTGTACATAAATTAACCTTGCAGAAAAACTTTCTTTCTATATTTCGCACCTTTTCTATCGTATTAAGCAATGACTAGTATTGGAATTTAAGAAACATGTTTGATTTGATTTGGGATTCATCTACTAGATACACTTATATCTGAGGCCTAAATTCAGTACTTATCGTTTCAAATTACAACAAGTCATCCAAACAACTTTTCCATCGATACTAATTATTTAAAAAGAAGGATACACTTGTCAAGTAGGCTGGTCAGAGAGTAGTTAAACTAACATGAATAAACTCAAGATCTGACTTGGAAAAAACTTATACCATTATCCGCAATAGGGTGTAATAGAAGTAAGAGTTTTAACGTGAATAACCAAAACTTCCAGAGATAGCTCATTTCAACAACAAAAGAGCGACAAGAAAACATCCACCTTAAAAAATACATCACAATTAGTGTCTATTGATAAATTTCGAAAAGAATAACGTTAATACACTAAAAGCTAATTACAAAGAGGTTATCTATGACCGATTTCAAATAGCTGTATTTTAAACATTGCTGTTACTCTTCCAAGTTGAGAAACCACTTATCACCCAATTTCATTTTCAGACTGCTCGAAATAAAAAATGGCAACCAGGATATGATGAGTGCTCAAACAACTCCAGCAGTATTCGATTTCATTGGAATGTATTTCTGCATCAAGATGGCAAGTTTTTGCGAAACCTCGAAGATACGATGATAGAGGCAGGACCTTGTCTACTAATATATCATATATCTTACTATGTAACACACTGGAGATAGTAAACCATAGTTACCAAATCAACTGATGATTCTGCTTTGCCTTCTTACTGGATAATGATTTCAGTTGTGTATGAAAGTATATTCTTGATGATTAGACTATATTACAAAATTAGCAATTTTCACTCATAAGTGTTATATCCAAGCAAAGACTAAGTTATGGGTAACTTCTGAGAACTATAAATGGACTAATACTATAAATATATTCTTATTGTATAACTATTCAGTAACTAGATTATGTTTGTCTATATTCCTCTTATACTAAACTTTATTTTGACCTATAGACTATTATTATAAGACTGAACAGCCTATTAATTGTAGTCTCCCACAATCACAGTCACTTTTTCGCTCGATCTCCTACTAATGTTATTTCCCATTTTATCGTATGATGTGGTTTGGTTGACTTGCATATAAACCAATTATGTTTGATTCATACAGTGGAAGCTGGTATTGGTGATATGGACTGAACAGGCAGAACTAGTCAGAAAAAGGATCAATAAGAACATTAGGCCGCTCATACCAGTCAACCGTCATTGGTTTGGAACAGTACTAAGATTGTATAATTCGTATTTTGATTAAAGAATAAGTCACGTGACGTTCAACGGGCAAAAGTCACAACAATAAATTCATTTAGAACTGTTCAAAATCGGTTCTAGTTCTGAAAAAATATAATGAGAATCAAATTCTTCTCTGAATCCACTTGGTGTTGTTTTACTTGTATCTTCTTATTGTTATTTAGGACTGCAATTGATCAGTCTCTTGTTGGCATATGTGCATCCTGTGCGGATTGCTTCGATATAACCTTAAGTCACAAGCTTTTTTTAAGCAAAGATGGATAGTAAAATTTAAAAAGGACTCGAACCCAGAGTGAACATCAACTTTGGGATGCAGGTACATCCAATTGATGAGTTCTAAATAGAATGAAATGCGCGTCCTAGATTCCACTACTAACCAATATCCATCTTTGCTCAAATTCTTCTCTGTTAATACATTTTCTCTTACTATCCTATTGATTGATTAATTTCCACTACTGACAGTAGAACTTGAAATTGAGATTCTTCACTTAATGACTGGTTCAATTTTATACAACCTATTCAACTGCTTAACTCCAGTCAATAGTTATTCACTTAATGAAACAGTATTATATAATAACTGAGTGACTGGCTACGACAGAACCCTCATCTTCATACGAAACTCTTCAATTAACCTATTTGGTAGACAGACAGACAGGCAGACATATAGTACTTCTTTTAGTCCGTAATTAAAAATGGCATTGTATTTTATAAGCATAAATATATTTCTTAAAAATATATATCTTCAATATTACTTCCATTTGTAATATTGGCCGTCTCTCTCTCTTTCACACACACACACACACACACAAATTAAGGACAATAACAAAAAACAAAACAAAAAAGGGAACGAAGATCAAAAATGAGAAGAAACAAGGCAACAAAAGCATTCATTACATTACTATTCCTTTTGTCAATAGTGATCATAGCTGTCAAATATCTATATGGAATAATAGGTGGAAATAAATACATGGCAACTAAATCCATGGTAAAAATGTATGTATGTGTGTCCCTTTACTCTCGTTCACGTGTACACCCGTATATGTACGTATGTATATCTCTTATGTTTATACATATGAACAAGGTTTTTTTTATGAAAAAAAGTGATCTGAATCTTCATTAGTCGATCAAAAATTTGCTGGTATTTTAACCATAAGGATCATAATGAAACGATAAGACTATAAGGTAGAAAGATATGCAATGACTTATCATAAGGCTATGCCATTGATGTTAGTATAGTTGTGTTGTTTTTTTTAATAATTAGCAATAAATAATGTTTACTATTGATAGTGACATGGTAACTAAATTGTAAGCTTAGCAATAAAATTGATGAAATAAAGGCAATACTAAGTGAGAGGGGTGGATAGAGGGTTAAAGAAGCACATTAATAAAATAAGCGTACTACTCAAATAGAATGAGTGTGTGTGAAAAAAAAGGAACTGTCTTGAAATAAACAGAACAAAAGACTATACAAACACCTGATATCTGTATGGATTATGTATATGTGTATGTATACATGTTTCTTAGAGTACTGAAATGAAGGAAGGTATGCGAACAAACCGGAAATTAACATATACAAATGTATATATTCTACATCTAATAAGGTTATCCATCAATATATAAAGATATTGAATAAATCCTATTCGGAAGACAAATGACTGAGCTTACTAGTTGTAATTCATTTAAAATTGATAAGCATATTGTTGATTTATATTACTATTATGATTATTAGTAGTATTGATAATATTCATAGTGGAATTCATTAAATGATTGTTTTGTACAGGAAAAGTTGTTAATTTGCATGAAGTGAAATGTTTATGTGGACTACTATGATAATTGATATTACGATTATTAATTGTAGAACGTTTAGTAATAGAATCTTCACGATTACACTGTTGACAATGTTGTTCAGATGGTAACCAAACAGCCATATTTGATGAAGATAATGAATGATGATATGCATTTAAAGGCATAAAAGATCCACCTGTACAAGGAGTAGTTTGCTGATCATATGTACTTTCTATACCGATCCCTGTGTCTGGTGATGAATTAGTTAATTCAGTACGTTTAAGTTTAGGCGACTGTAATAACAACATAGTGGATAATGGTGAAGGAATTGTTGAATGATTATGATGCATACCGAAATCTAAATTTGTAGTTGAAGTCACATGTTTATACGATGGTCGTGCAGTGATTTGTTTCCTGTCAATAGATGGTGATATTATAGTGGATTGATACAGTCGAGATGTGTGACTCGTTGTTACTGGTGACGGGTATAACAGTGGCATAGGTGGTGGTGGTTGTATTGATGAGGAGGAATTCTGTGCAGATTGATAACGAAAACTTGCTGTCATAGAAGAAGGTTGATCTTGTGATGTGAAATAATAACCTACATTGTTATTATTTTTACTAATAGTAGTTGTAGTAGTAGCACTAGTGATCGTTGAATGAGGAATAACATTTGATGGAATACTCATTGATGGAATAATTTGTATACAATTGACTGCAGTAGTCATTTTGTCGTTGAACATATTACTAATCGACTGGAAAGTAGTACTACTTTTACTGATATTCGTAGTAGTGGAAACACTGGTTTTATTGTTATTATTATTATTGACAGAAAACGAGGAAGTCCAAACATTTCCCAAAGAGTTATTACTTTCATGCATTGAACGACTGATAGACGGATGAATGTGAGATGAGGATAAACTAAGATGACGTTTACTATGATGATTCGATGAAGACAAATTATATCCATAATCATATGTTGAATTATTTAATACATCTGTATTCATATTATTATTATTATTATTACTACAAGTAGTCTTGTATTGTTGTTGTTTCAATGGTGTTGATATTGAATAATATTCTTCCTTTGGTTCATCATAAATACATTCTTCTATTTTATTATCATTTCTATCATATATACAATCATGTTTAGATGATGATATATTCAATGCTGATGTCGTAAACAATGGCTTCGATGAACGATTCATCATATTAGAACAAGATGTTGTTGTTAATCCAGGTAGATATGAACAATAAGATGAAAACATACCAGAATATGATGGTTGTTGAACAGATTGACTAACTAAATATGTACATGAAATAGCATTATTATTATTATTATTATTATCACTATTCAATTTCGTAATATTTTGAGTGACATAATATCCAGTTGTTATTGCTGTATTCTCTTGTAACAATGATGGTACAGCGAAATTAACACGTCCACGTTCATATGTTGTTGTAGAATGAGGGAAACTTTCATTAATAGGATTATTACAAGAAGTGGAAGAATATAACAAAGGAGTAAATGCCATTGAACTACCATTTCGACAAGTACTATTATTATTATTATTATTATTATTATTATTATTAATAGTAGTAATTGGGGTAAAAGTATATGACAAGACATGTGGTTTACTATCTACAATTTGACTAGGTTTAATTATATGATCATTTATAGTTGATGATAATGATTGAATGGATTGATGACATGATTTCGTTGTAATGGGTGTTTCAGTAAATGAATAATTACCATAACTCATATCATATACATTGAAATAACTTGACTTTTGATTATTATTATTATTATTATTACTATCAGTAGTAGTGGTAGTAGTAGTAGTAGTATTGGTAGTAGTAGTGATAGTAACATCAGTAATAGTAGTAGTAGTAGTAGTATGACAGTTATTTTGTTGATTAGTTGTATTAGTTAATTGAGTAATCCCCTTTCTTTTATTCTCATCTATTTGATGATGATGATGATAATCATGACATGGTTTAGGACGAATCAATAAAACTGGTGCTTTACTAGTAATTTTCACTGGAATATTACTTAATTGATAATAATTCTCCTCTAAATTTTTATAATATTTTTTATTAGTTTCCATTGTATTATTAGTTTCTATGGTATGTTCATTGATTATTGATTGATTATTGATTATTTTATTGGATATATATTGATTCGTCATATTAGTATTAGTCATTAATTTATTTAAACGTGGAGATATTGGCGCTGATGAATTATTATTCAAATATGTATTACTCTTTTCATAATGATGACGATGATGATGATGATGAGGTTGATTATGATGTACTAAAGAAGATAATGAATGAGATTGCATTGGAAAATGTCCATTACGTACATAAAAATAAATATCTTCAATTTCATCGCATAATGCATTCATTTCATCAACTTCACTAGCAAATAATGATGATGATAAACTAGATTGAGTATGTAAATTAGTAGTATTGATTAAACAATTAGCGGAATGGTAAGAATCATTAATATCGATTGATGATGTATGCATGGAATTATAATTACTACTATTATGATAATTAGTAGTAGTTGTAGTGGTAGTAGAGACAGTATTATTATTATTATTATTATGTAATGTTAAATAATTTAATATTTTCGGTTGAATTTCATTCAATTGATATGGATCATTTGGTATATCATTAGATTCTTCATGCATAGTTAAAGAAGCAATTGCAGCTATACTTGAGATAGCCGATTGAATAGCAATAGTATTGAAACGATTAGTAATTGGTCCAAGTGTTCTAGTCAATGGAATATATGATGGTCCAGTATTTGATGAATGTGTAATATCTTCTAAATGTTTTAAAATATATGTTAAACCTTGAACAGGATGACATGCAGCTAGAAAGTGTGATACTCTAAATGCATGTATTTCAAGTTGTTGTTGATATGCTTGACATGTTTGTGAGTCTGCAACTAAGAAATTATGATGTAATAACATATCAGTGGTAACTACAAAAAACCGACTTTTAATTGCTTCATTTGATGATTCATTCTGATAAACAGATTTAGTGCAATCGGATAAAGGTTCTAGAAATATAAGGTCCCCATGATGACATGAGAATATCTGTAATAATGAATGCATATTGACAGAGTCTGGATTTGATATTAACGAGTGATTTGTACATTTTCCCATGAAGAACCATTCACTTGAACGTAATCCAACTACAGGACGTGTAATTAAAGGGAGTCGATAAGTGCTCAGTAACGATAAGATACTATGAACTCCATTATCGAAAATGCCGTAATCTGTTTCATTGCCTGATAATTTAATTTGACTAGAATTCTTAATATGATTACCATAATTATTATTTACGCTAACTGTGGATGTTGTTTTCACGGGACTGCACATTATCGATTTCGAAGCTAAAGATAAATAAACTAAACGAGGACCAGTACTGAACCAGTTCAATGCATCTTGGGAAGATAAATTTGTAATTGATGAAGCTAAAGCAGCTAATGCTTTACCACCAACAACTGCACATTGAAGCATAGAAACAGGTTTTGAACGATGACGCGCAGAAAGCCGATAAGAAATTTGATCTTCTTTGTGTACAAGACGACACAGTCGACAATCAATTAGTTGTAATACAGTTCCAGGTCGAAGAATACCAATATTATCTGCATCTAATGTTATAGTGGAACGATCATCCTTTTTAAGTAGTTCAGTTGAACTCATGGTAAGTGACTGAGTATTAGTTGCGAATAAACACTGAGTATCTTTTCTTAATAGAATAAATTTTGGTTTGGCTCGCCAAACCGCTTTACAACTTGACCAAACAGGAACTTCTGGACAAATTTGAGGTCCATTATCAGATGGTCCAATAACATTTCTTCGTACTAATTCGAACCAAGATGGACAACAGGAAGTAAGAACAACAGAATGTGGACAAGATGATTTAATTTGATTAAAGTTTGGTAAACTCTGGTTGTAAGCAATCTTATTATTAGATGTATTATTTACAGTATGTTGAGAAGTATGATTCAATCGTGATTTTTCACTACTTGAAACAACAGAATTCGGTAATAACCATTCAGCTTGAACTAATGTTATACCAGGAACAATTTTCATAGCTAAAGCACGTTCATTTTTAAGTACACAACGGCATCCTGGTTTACGACATTCAATTTGAACAAGACGTGATGGTTTATCAACTGGATAATTTGATGAACCAATACAACTTTCTTGTTGAACAAGATCTTGAATTGTAAAACGCATTGAATCCATAAATTGATTATAACTTATATTATCATTATTTATATGACGACTATTTTCTCTATTCATATCAACATTATTACGAGTAATCCATTTGAAATGTGGTCCAGAATCATAAATATCTACAGCACAACTCATGAGATATGATGTTATAATAAAAACATTATACCATTATAATATCTATCCATATTTCTTCATGGGTATGATCTTATTTTATAGAATATTGACATTTATGTTATCATTTTAATAAGAATTACATACATAATGAATATTGAATCTTCATTAGAAGGTAAGTAAATAAGAAGGAATTAAAACTAATTTCATATTAAATAAGAATATAAAAATTAGTTTATATTTAATGAAAGCCGTCTTTTTAGAACCAATCAAAATGAAGGTCATTATCATAGGGAATTTTTATATCAGCTGATTTTGTTGATTCCTGATTGGTTATTTATTGACATAGTAACATAATCAACCAATGAAAATAGAGTATTATTATTCATGTCATTCGAGTAGTAACTAATGTACATACAAACATACTATGGACACACATACATTAGATGATAATACAGCTTAGATTTCTTTGTTAAATTTACGGATACCTTATGGTTATTTTATAATGTTCACCAGGGTAAAGTTTAGTTTTTTTTGACAGTGAACAACATGAAGTTGCTTATTTTATGCAATATTAATGAGGAATAGAAACAAACTAGTGAATGCATAGACTGTTGAATTGGAAAGAAACAAACTAGTTATGTATTAATGTGTAAATTATACTATGACAATATTTCTATTAATATTAGGGTTTAGCTCTAGTTAATTCAAACGAATAAACCTGGTGAACTACGAAAGCCATCATTCAGAAGATACGGGTGTTTATTAACAGTTGACTACGCAAAATACTTCGGATCCGTTAGCCAGATAATATTAACAACAACCTTCTTTGGGAGAGAACAAACCAGATTGTAGCGAAGGAAGAAATCAGAAAGAAGCGCTGGAAGTGGATAGGACACACATTAAGGAAAGCACCGAACTGCGTCACAAGACAAGCCCTCACATAGAATCCTCAAGGCCAAGGGAAAAGTGGAAGATCAAAGAACACATTACAACGAGAAATGGAGACAGAAAGACAGACATGAGAACAATGAACAACAATTGGATAGAATTGTAACGGAAGGCGTAGGACAGAGTGGGTTGGAAAATGCTGGTTGGTGGCCTATGCTCCATTAGGAGTAACAGGTGTAAGTAAGTAAGTAATTCAAACGACTAAGTGATGTGAAGAGAGAAGCAAGAAGTCCTGACAATCTATGGAAGCTATTTTTCGGGGTAATATTTAATTTCATTCAAAGCTTGTAAAACATTAGCACTGATTTTTGTACCTAGTCTATTCCATAGATCGTAAGCTTTCGTTTGATGTATCATTCATTGTCATATCCTTTTCTATTCCAAAGTTATGGTAATTTAAACATAATCTTTTGTACTCGATTGTATTGTCTTACATCACATTAAAGCGATCACGATATTGAAAATCCGAAATCTAATTCGTTTCCAAAATCTTTAAGTTCTACTAACTTCAAGGAACCAAGATGTAAAGACACTACGTTATTTAACCCAACGGAAATAAGAAAGATATGTAATGACTATAAAAACAATACAACAGATAGAAAAGTAAAACTGTTCTGGAATATAAGTGATGATGAGGATGTATTTAAGGGATCAATCATTGTCGTCAGTTTTGATAAACATGAAAAGAAAGGAGATCAGTATTGATAGTCTCATAGAGCAAATGGACTCAGAACTCAATTGTTAGTTGATTGATGTCATTCATGTGCATTTATTTTGAACTGTCTGTTTTCAGAATGTTAATTTCGAGCTTTTGTACACTTTACTATTGTTATGTTGATGTCGATTTCTACCCTGTGTTATCGATCAATTACAATGACACGCAAACACGTACGGACGGCCTAGAGTCTCGATTGGTCCCACTTCCCTGTCTAGCCCAGTCAGTTGAGTCCAGAACACAAGTCACAACCTCTGAGATATGAATCACTATATTTCAAACATACTTTGTTTATATACCAGTCAAGCATACCACAGCGTACCATAAAAATAGAAAACAACATTTTGTACAAGTGAACAGATATCGACCAATAGGAAATGTCCATTTAAAGTCCAAGGACACCATTGGACTTAACATGATAATTATTGGTCTATTCCTGCGCATCCACAACACCTCCCCTTTTTTTTGAAGATCCGGAGTTGATATCCGGATTTTGAAATTTTCTGGGTTCATCCTCCCCCACGAAATAACGTTGGGTCCTCATATACCCAAGTAACAGTTAGTCTGATTCGAATTAAAGCATATTTCGCGCATTGAGTAGAGGGTTCACTAAGACTGACTAGATGATGAGGATTAGCAACACCAGACATGAGGTCATTAAGGTTTGATTCTTGTGCAACATATTCTTCAGACCTCTTCAAAATTCTATCACTGGATAGTAGGTCACTAAAACAAACAGCATCTTTGAAATTCGTATTAGATTTCTGACCATTATTTGATGCACGGGAAACATTTTCTGACACGAGAGGTTCTTCTTGTAAGCTGGATACCTCACATGTTTCAGGCACAGTGGGATTTGAACCCACAACAGGGAATGTTTCTGAATTTGACATTTCTGAACAACTGGGCGGATCATGAATGATAGTCTCGATTACATCACTGGTCGTCATGGATTCACAGAGGCTTTTATAGGCAGCTTCATATGTTCTGCAGTTGTTTTTCAGCTCAGTCTGCAGATGAGAAATGAAATTACCAACTTCTGTTGCATTTCCGAAACATGGAAAATTTACCAACAGTGTGCGTAAATTTTCTAAAAAATTCAACTGGCTATTTTTGAAACACTGCTGTTGTTGCTCAAGTAGAAGCTGTAATTGATCGGAACAGGTAGTCATTTTTTTTCAGCACCAGCAATGAAAATTAACTGTAGGAATAGTGACCAATGTCGCTCAAGGACGCTGGTGACAATCTGGATGCTGATTGGTCGAAACAATTAGCCTGAATCGCGTCCAATTACAAGGTTCAAAATTTTTCTCCACCCCGTCGCCAATTGTTATGACTTTAAGTTGATGTCGATTTCTACCCTGGTGGTGTCGCTGTCAGGATTTAAAGTCCAAGGACACCATTGGACTTAACATGATAATTATTGGTCTATTCCTGCGCATCCACAACAACTATGTACACTGGAAATCCATAAAGCCAAAAAATATGTGATATATTATATAATCAGGTTTTCTGCGATATTCAAACTCTAAAAGTCAATACTGCTGAAGATGTTGGTTATTTGCGGAAAACCATTTTACTACTACTTGTTTTCATACATGAAAAGAACCACAATCCACCTTAACTCTATCCAGTTGACTTTCTTTCTATAATAGAGCCCTAAATAAACATTTGTGTTCTATTTAATATGACCAGTAATTGACAGGTAAGAGTCGAATTCATTTGGTCTACTTACATTTTTTTGTAACTGATGTCATGTTGTAGGGAATTTGTGTAGTTTATATTTAGCATTTAACCCATAAACTGATATCAGCTAGTTAGTTAGTTAGTCATAAGCAACGTAGAATCTAGCATACATGTATATCGAGTTGCCAAACCACATTATTAAGGCGAAATCAAATTGTCAAGATAAATGTTAAAGTAGTGAAAATAGTAATAGTATCAGTGAAGAAGGAAAAACTTCGTGGAATAAAAAGTATAAAATAACTTCGGAACCAAACATTTATTAGCAGATAATGATTTCATATATTTGCTACATTACGATCGTTTCTCAGCTATGTCACTTAATGTATCTGACTATTAGTTACGATGATGACATGGACGCCAACTAAGTGGTTTATATATACCTAAAAGGTTCAGTTCAACCGTGTGCAACTTCATGAACTGATATGAAATTTTAGGTTGGCTACCCCAAATCTTTCATCCTAATTACCCTTGCATCAGAAAACATGAACAATCGTGACAAATTGTAGACGGGTATACTTAATACATGTCACAACTACCCTCAATTGATAAAGATTTACTACCTCAGTAAATGAAGTGATAACATTTTACTGATTGAAATCATAAGTCAACTGGAGCTAGACCACCATGGAAAACCTGAAAGCACTGGAAGGCCGTTTCGTCCTAGTATGGGACTCCTCACTAGTGAGCATCCACGATCCCACCTCGTCAGATTCGAACTCAGGATCTATTAGTCTCGCGCGCGAGCACTTAACCACTAGACCACTGAGCCAGCCGGCATCCAGCGGTGTTAATGTCTAATTTCAACCGATCCACGAAATTAAGCGATACATTCACTATTGTCATCAGGGAGTTACTATCTCACAACAGACTCCGTTGAACTTGCACAACAGGTTTGCCATGGTGGTCTAGCTTCAATTGACTCATGATTTCAACCATTGAAATTACTATAATATCCGCAAAACCCTTCTGAAATAAAAATTATTTTTATGGAAAAATGTGAGTTTATAATTCACTTGTTTCTATATCATAATAGAATGGCGCCATTTTCAAATGGTTGTTTGCCTATAACCGTAATAATCGTTATTTTCACTAAAAAAAAATCCCCCAGTTTATTCAATTTGCAATTTCCGATTTATCGATTTTCCTACAATTGGCATTAACAACATTGATAATAATATTGTTATTATGTATTATTAGCCTGATTCTAATATCAGTTGGATTCCACAATCAAAACCATAGTACCATGGCGGGGGGTGAAGACAAGTGAATACACTTTCTTTGTATATATATGGAGAGAGAGAGAGAAAAATCAGTACATATATGGGTATGCAATGTAAATTTTCCAGATCATTTATATGTTGTCCATACATTGAAAAGGTATTCTTGATTAAGAATTTTTAAATGGATTAATCAGAGTAGTTGATTTGCTTCGTTTAGGCACATGTTTCATTTAAAATGATAATTTTGTTATGGAATCAAGGTTTACCACGTAATTGTTTGTGTTTTCTTCCATGAATGATTTTGAGATCTTGATTAGTTTCTTCTTTAGGGTGTTTCTTCATTGTTCTCTGTATTGTTTGCATAATATCTCGATGGCTGTTGTCAAGATTTC